GTTTCCTATTAAGGTTCAATCCAGATACCTATCATTCCATAATAAACTTCTGAACCATCCAAACCCTCTTGTTTCCAACCTTGCTTCCTCTTCTATTCCTGATAATCCTCCGAGGTGTCTGAAAAGATGGCCTTGGGACCTTCTAATATAGAAATATAATTGGAGTGCTACCAATGGGTAGTTTCTCTTCATGTAGTATATGTCATGTTACTTGTTTCATATTTACTTGTTGTGTTTATCATTTAATACAGTTGTAAATTTCGATAATAATAAAAAAAAAAAATTAGTGAATAATTTGATGAATTTTCTCTTTGTGAATCCCAACATTAACCACTTACAATTAGTGTGACAACTTTTGTCCTATTCATGGCAGGCAATGTAAATCTATTAATTTTTATACTAGTAAACTTTACAATGGAAAATAACAGTTTAATAACTAATAGACGTACAGTCCATAATCATTTATAGGTTAAATTTTCAGATATACTTTCAAATCTCTCTAGGCATATATGAGCCTTTCGGTTGACGGAATGATTAATTATAATTTCTCTATTTTTTATTATAAATTTTAGTGATGTTTTTAGTGGCAAAATGTATACCTTTATTCACTGTTCTATATTTTTCCTACTCTGGCATAAACTGTCTGTATAAAATATAACTTTTCAAACTAGAAATATCACTAAAATATTACTCAAATATGTTGAAATTGGAGATAGTCATTCTGTCAACTCAAAGGCTCAGAGTCTGAATTTGTGTGGTTTATAAAAGCAGATGGAGTAACTAGTTTTTTATTGCCTACCGTCGATATAATAAATGAACTTTTTGTAATTTTAACGGTCTTAATGATTTGTTATCTGTAAGCTTTAATCTATAACTTTAAAAGTGTACTTCAAAAATTGTATAACAGCCCAACATTGCCAGAAAATAATTTCTATTGAAAGTAGAGTGGTAAGTGAAAGTTGTGTGTTGCGCGAACCAGATTTTTTTAAATTACATTAAAATAGGGTAAAATTTAAAATTGACAAACTAATTTAATTACAATTAAATCAAATTTTTGTGTGTGTGTATATATATAATTACATGTATATAACATATCGCTACTTTTAGTGTAAAAGGTCGTATGTATATTCATGCTAAAGGTGACAATTCGTAGTCTGCAATAAGTAGTCAGTCTGGTACTATCGAAAATAGCAGAGGGAAATAAAATATGATATTATACTATAACAATATATTGAAGGAAGACAGTCGACTGTTCTGCATGTCGTAGGTGATAATTGGAGTCAGATAAAAAACAAGTCAGAACGCAGTAATTTTTAAGATTTTTACTATTGCCGACATTGCAACCCAAACCCTTTTTAATGGAACATCAAGAAATGTGTTTATTTTTATTATTCCAGTTCTATATTAAAACAATTATTAAAATGAAATAATCAAATAACGACAATTTTATCAACAATCTTTCGACGGACTATGGAAGTTTGTGGAGACACACAAACTTCGTGAGGTATCTGCACCTCTACGAAGAGAGGATGGTTCTTGGGCTGTTTCGGACAAGAAAAGATCTGAACTCGTTGCTAACCATCTTTCCTCAGTTTTTAAACCACACACGGACTTCATTAATACAGAACATGATATTTTTGTATAAAACAATTTAGACATATCACCACCTCCTTTCACATTATCACAAGTTGCACAAGAAATTAGACAATTGGCGAAAAGAAAAATCCTTGGTCATGACTTGATAAGTGGTTAGGCGCTTCGGCAAATGCCAAGTAAAGTTCTAATATTTCTCATCACAATCTTCAACTGCATTCTCAGGACGACCAAATTTCCAATACAATAGAATAATTTCACATAACCATGATTAAAAAGACAGATAAAAGACACTAACAATCTTTTTTCATATAGACGATTAGTTTGCTTCCAGTATGTTCTATATTATTTGAAAACTACTGTACCCACGACTATTACATATATTAACAGAGAAACAGATTATTTTTGATCATCTATTCAGATTTCAAAAATTACATTCAACAACACAACAACTACACAGAGTAACTAACTACATATCGACAGCACTAGAGTGGAAATTATATGTAACTGGAGTATTTCTAGATGTCGCCCAAGCATTTGGCAAAGTATGGCATCAGGGGCTTCTCTTCAAGCTTAAGACTCTACTTCCACACAGCTACTATTTAATTCTTCATTTCTTTCTCTCAGACAGATTTATGTCCGTTCGACATGGCTCAAGTCTATCCTCAATTCGACCAATTTTAGCCAGTATACCTCAGGGATCAATCTTCATATCTCTGGGTAGATATACGTCCATCTTCCAAGCCAAGATTTTAGCCATCGATTTCTGTGCCAATCACTTATTAAGGAGGACATTGTGAACAGATTGATAACAATATATACTGATAGTCAAGCGGCAATTGGGACCCTGAATATTTATGCAAGCCGCTCAAAGTTGGTGGATGATTACAAAGGCAATCCTAATTTTCTTTGTAGTACTAACAAGGTGAAAGTAGAATGGGTATCTGGGCACTCAGAAATTCCAGAAAATGAGAAAGTCGATTACCTTGCTAGGAAAGGCTAAGCACAGGTGCCAGTAGCAGCGGAGCCTAGTTGTGGGATAAGCCTTGGAATTGCCACAAGATATATTAAGACAATTGCTACATTGGGTACAGATTAGGAAACAGATCCATTCTAAATTATTCCTTGTAGGGCCCTGCCATAAGAGAAGCAATTCACTCCTTCAAATGGACAGGAATACCATTAGGTGGGTGACAGGACTGTATACCGGTCACTGTCAATTAAATAAGCATCTTTACAATTAGGGAGTAAGTGAGACCTCCACCTGCTGGCTGTGCGGCTTGGAGGATGATACGGCCAATCACATTATTTGTAGATGGGATACTTTCACTTTGGATGTAATTGTATCACTGTGAACTGATTGATCCTCTTAGTATCAATAGGTTCGCAAAGGCATCTGGCCTGTCTTAACTGAAGTTAGGATAGGCACAATAGGCCTTTTTGATGTGCATCCTCCTCCCCCTATGTCGGAGTAAAAAAAAATAAAACATGCCAACCATAGATGAACACATAAACTTACTACAAACGATTTAATATCAAGTTACAAGGACACTCCAACCAGCTAATTAAAGAAATGGCCACCGCTATTATGCTGGAGAACTCCAGAGGGCGCCTGTTAAGGGTCTTGATGAGGGACCTACTTACCTAATTATGCAAGTAAAAGCCATGGAAAGGATGTTGCTGGGTATTGCTTTTCCTCATGCGTATCCATTAGTTATTTTATTATTATTATTTTTTTTTTTTCCCTCATGATTGATTATTCCAGTTCATCTACTGATCGTCGATGGTTGTGATTGAGAGATGCGGATTAATAAATGAAAGCACAAAAAAAAAAAAAAAAATGAAATAATAGTAAATAGAAAATAAAAAACAATGGGCTGCAAAACATGAAAAAACAAAATCACAATATTCAAATGGAAATAATCCAGACAATTCGGAAGAAAACTTGATCTGCTAAAAGGACAAGTCTTATAAATTTTAAGATGGCTAAAATTAGAGCATCATCTGGTACTAGTTCACAAGTGTTACATCTATTTGAAAGTTAGGTCAAGGCCATGATGATTGTACTTCAGAAGTAATTCTGAAAGCAGCCAAAATACAGTAAATTGCCAGCTATTTTGGAAAAGAAAATATGTCCTTGCTTAATGTAACCACAATATTTATGTAAGCTCAGATCAGCTATAATCTCAATCACATTCAGCTCTTATAATATTTTGTAGGTATATTTTTAAAAGAAACCAAGCATTCTAAACAGTTATGCACGTATTTATGAATTTTGATTATATAATTAATTTAAATGTATTATTCTGTATTTTATATTATTATACTGTAAATAAATATAATAGAACTGTTAATATTATATTTAAACAGCCATAAAGTAAGGACAGGTCTGTCACTGCGTATAAACATGAACATTATTATCAATAATCTGCTATTTTTGGCATTTCTCAGATACCATTTATAGTGTGATCAAAGTGATCTTGAACCCAAATGCCATCTTGGAACAGCAATTCGGAACTATATACCGATTAAATACTTAGTACGTTTATAAGACCAAAAAAAAATAAAGATAAAAACAACAGAAATATAGAATAAAACACAAAGATAAAGATGGATTTAGTTTAAAATCATTACAAATACAAACAGGGATAAAAGTTAACTAACAAACTATTACTATAAATATCATTACAAACTGCAATCCTAATCAGAAATTACACATAATGAAACAATCTTAAAACAAAAAAAAATTCTAAACATGGTAACAAATGTAACTAAAATTCAGATAATTCAAATCCTAATTTAGATACAAATACAAGTTGCTGTCACTAATACTTAAACATTTTAAAATTTAATATGTAGTATAATGACTATAAGAAATGAAGGCAAATAATTTTTCAGAAAGAGAAAAACAAATTATTTTAGAAATGGAAATAATAGTTCTCTTATGAATAACATTATATACAATTCAATCCTCTAAACAATAAAAGTTTATTTTCTGTAAAGATTAATAAAATAACCAAGAATAATGAGTTAAGGTAAAACTACAAATTAATGAAGATATTTACCTTACACCCCATGCTAGTTTTGAATGTAAATGATAATTTAAAAGGGATACTTCAAAAAATAAAATCCTCACCTTTGGGAAACTGAAGATCAGCAGCGTCTTCATCAACAATCTCATTTGTTAAGCTCATAATTAATATTCAATAACTTACATCTAAGAATAAATAATCTGACGAATAACTTGATTCAAATTCAACCAAATTAAACAATGAACACTCCACAGACAACAGTGAAATGACCAACCGGGTAATATATTAAGTTAACCTTTCGGTTTTGATACAGTACTTTTCGAATATAGACTGGTCGACTAAAATGCTATAATTATTTTTAAATTACTTATTTACAAAAACAATAATTTCAAACAATTTAGTTTAACATATTAAAATATATTTATACTAAAATTTTTGACAATTTATTAATTTTTTATTTAAAATAAAAATTTCTTCTATAGCCTACTTGCTATGCTGACTCCCGCCTCGATATAGTAAGCCTTGACTCACCTATTTGAAAACAACCGTTGTCATCCAGTAAACTTCAATCATGATTAACTCGAGTATTGCTTCTGATTGTTTCTCGAATGTGCGTTTATTTATTATGCATAATTTGTGTGTTCTTGTAGTTAATGATTTCAATAACGTCCATGTTTTTATTATTTCATTTGATTTTAGATGGCTTTAGCAGAATATAGAGAGAAATCATTCATTGAGTGGCCATTTAAGGATGGAAAATGTACAGCTAAACAGGTAATTTAGTGTTTTTATTTACATTCTAAATAGCATTACTAGAAATATAGTTAACTTTATTATTTAATTATGATTTAAATCTATTTATGTTTTAATGGTCCAAAGCAAATCATACCAAAATTTCTAAATGTAACTTTAATATATTAAAATCTACTTTCATAGCAAGTACTATTAACAAATTTTGGAATATTTATGATAAATTAGGTACATATGGGAAAAGTGATATTACATTAATTTTTTTATTAAAAAGTATTTCTACATAGCTATTCTTCTGTTTGATATTGATGCTTATCATGCAGAATTTTAAGACATGTATTTTTAAAAATTTCTGATCTCATTTAATTATAAATTGATATTACAAGTAATTTATTTAATGTGAAAAGTAAGAGATACCGAGCATTATCAATCTAATTTGGAGACTTTTAAAAGCCCAAAAGTTCATTTTATGCCAATGCATTCAATTTATCTAGATAAAGTAGTACAGAGAGGGTATCAAGATTTAAAAACACTTATATTTAGATAACTTTTTTACATATCTCTCGGTTATATCTTTTCACTGTGTTAAATTATTGAAGGGGTAAGTTATATCCCTTTTTGGAACCATGATTTATTGTCTTTAAGAATTGTTATTTTGTTTAATTAGGAAATGCTGTTTTAACTGTATAAGTAATTATCTACTTGTTTGAGTCCTACTGATATCTTAGCAAATTTTTGTTTGGTTAATTGGGAAATATTCTTCACTCAATAAAAAGAATTGAGGTGATAGTATTGCAGCATATGAAATGTTCATGCAAAGTTTTCAGGATGAATAACAAATTAATCCTAAGCATTTCATTAATATTATTATTTAAACTACATTGTACCATGCATTTAAATATTAATACAGTATATATAACTTTATTTTAAATATTGAAACAAACACATTAACATGAAACATTTCTAGATAGATATATGTGTATTATGTCATTTTATAAACATTCTGTATTAAAATATTTATCTTTATTTACTTAGGATCCAATTAATTTCACATATCTGCAGTCTCAATGTGAAATTATCCAGTTTGGAACAATTACCTAACTGTGTAACTGTTGAATCTTAATTTTTCGATTGAGTTTAATAAATTTAATTTTCATCATATTGAAATTATCTTTTTAAATAACAAATACCACCAGGTATTACGTACTACAGAGGAAAAAAAAATATAATAACTGGTTCTTGTAAATTAAAGTTAAAGATCTCTATAAATTGTTAACGGGTGCAGTATAAAAGTATAATTTTTATCGATAAGGGAGGATATGATGTACTTTAGTTATTTCCATTCATTTTATTACTGTGACCAATGCATGTTTCAGATATTGTAGATGTCAACATGTGATCCTGTTTCACTGATATATCCAGTTATGTATTGGTTTTATATTTCTGAAATGTATTTATAATGGTTTTAGTTGCAGCCCTTTATTTTTGATGTTGAGAGATCCAATATTTTTTCTAATTTGATGTAGTGTTCTAGTGGTTATCTATATTCCACTAATATTCTTTTAAATGAATAATCATTTGATCACTCCTGGTACCAGCTAATGACAATGGGAACTACATTAAAAATATAATTGACAGTTTTTGCCTTATACTTTTACAGTGTATAAATATTTGTTCTTTTCAAGGCTCTTTATAACAATATAAAAAAGTACTCACGAGAATCCTATTTTTAAAACCATGAATAATAACTTCTCATTTTAAAAATTATTATATTGTTGTTTGGTCTCTACAATTAAACTATTGCCTGATTATTACTTTTCCAGTAGATTGTTGAAAAGTTAATGATAAATCTAGATTTATTGTGATTAAGGTAAATATAATTTTTGTTTTTAAGGAAATGGCTCCATAGAGGAAGGCTATTGTCTGGGGTTAATAATTTTATTGTGTATGCTGGATGTCCAGCAAATAATGATAAATATCTGAAGAAGTGCCAGTAGACTGAATGAAACAAAAAAGTTCATGTAAACATACTCTGATTCCTCCAAGAAAAGTAGAAAGTATTAGTTTTTGTTCATTTTTTTTTCTCAAAGTTTTTGTTAAATAAAAAGCGGTGAGTAAAAATCTATTTATGTTAGGTAATTTCATATTTTAACTTCGCAAATGAGATAAAATTTTCTTAAAGAGTAAAATTGGGCTTTGTATAAACCATTGACAGGTGGCTTTCAAATGGTTATTGTATCAATAAGTTCTTCATCATAAATAACTTTATATAGGTTTTTTTTTAATTTTATTTTATTTGCTAGCCTCTTCCTTCTTACTCTACTACGGATTCTCCATTTCCAGTTTTAAGTTAATACTAATTAAGTTGAGATTTACTTCCACTTCTATAAATTATCATCCTAAATAATAATGTACCAGAACTTTTTACACAGATCTTAATTATAAGAATCGATAGTATTAGTATTGTTGACTAACTAAATGTTCCTATCTTCTAATTTTAGATGTAAGCCCATGGGGGTCTACATCAGTTTTTATTTATATGGTTTAAAATCTATAGTTACATTGATCACTGGAACTTTAAAGTTTTATTTCTTTTGTTTTTATTTATTCACGAGCAAGCTACTAACTTAGTGAAAGGCCAAGCCTCCTTTATTGAATGAACCTGGTTCAAATCATTTAACATGAATGGTTTTGCCTTTCTAAGGTGAAATAATGCCAATATTACTTAATAAAAAATAATAATAAGGCTTAGCGAAAATGAAGATTCGATGCCAATACCACCATGACCAATCGATCAACTACATTGATCACCAATCAATTGATACCATTGATACCCATCACATTCTCCCATTCACCAGGCATTATCTAAATTCAACCCATCCATATCAGCCCTAAAGCAATCATTCCACCTTCGCTTTGATCTACCCCTTGTCTGCTTGCCAGTCGGCACAGTAAATATTAACTTATTAGGAATTCATTCATTACTAAACCAGGGTGGCGACCAACCTGGAAAAATGGTTCGTTAGGAGAAAATTGTTAAATCATTTTTTTTAGTACGTAAATATTTTTTTCAAATTGGAAATAAATATACCGAGGATATCATTTATAATGGCCTTGAAGGGTAAACTTTGTCATTATTAACAACCACGATCACTATATTCATCCACCTTTGACTGTCAATAAGGGCACCGGTCATTTTATTGAAATAAAACAAGGGTAATGAATAAAATTTAAGCAAAATGGACTTATAACAGTGTTTTTTGAAAAGAAAAACATACCATTTTTATTTAGGAGTTTCTTCAATATGAAGTTTTCCTCAACCAAACTCCTTCTTTAGCAAGTCTCTATATCTCTGCCAGTCCATCTCATCCTCCTCAGACAGACCCTTACCAGTCATACTTTCCACCACTCAATCCTTCATTCTGACTGGTGGTCTTACTCTCCTTATACCCTCTGCCTCCCAATCCATAATTATCTTTGGTATCCTATCATCGCCCATTCGTTTCATGTAGTCATACCACCTGAGTTTCTTTTCTTCCATTATCTATTTACCATTATTATATACCATTACCTACCATGATATTTTGTATTTCCAATCTCTCCCTTATAATGACGTTTCTTACCCTTTCAATCCTTGATATCCCAGCAGCTCTTCTCCAAAAATCCATTTCAACTGAAAGGAATTTTTTTCATTGGGTCATACTGAGTGGCCATGTCTCCAAACCATATATTATTAAGCTTTTTACCAAAGCTTTGCATTAAGGATTCCAACTGCTTTTTTAAATGTCTTCCTCTATTCTCCCATTACTTGCAATTATGTGTCCCAAATTGTTCCACTTTACTTGCATTGCATAGTGTTGGGTCAGTGCTCTCTTTATTCTCCATGCAAATATATTTGGTTTTGCTGTAATTTGTTTGGAGGCCTCCTTGCTCATAATGATCTTTTATTTTTCTGATTGCAATTGATACCTGACATCAGCAAATAATAAATGAGATAGGTTTTTTCCTCTTAACTTTATGCCAATTTTTTACATTTCCTCAACCATTCTTTAGGCATTTATCGAGGCATATTTTGAATTGAGTGGGTGACATGCAGCATCCTTGTAGTAACCTGAAAAAATTACGTTTAATTCTTGAGCCAGGCTACTATTGGACTCTTCCCTCTCCAGTGGGCAGCATATATGTAATTTTTCTTCCAAGAAAACTTCTTGCTCTTCCATATTTTTATTACAGTACTAAACAGAAATATGAATTTAATTTAGTGGGGATTGACAGTTAGTATTGGTAAATGATATCTACATATTATTTAAATTTTATTTTTCATTATATTTTTAGTTAATTCATTGGCTGCAAGCACTCATTCGGTCGACCCATAGTGCTCCTTGAAAGAGCATTAATTAACCAGAAATGTCACAGTTGGTGTCATTTATTGATAGTAAATTTTTTTTTTTTTTTTAATTTATTTATTGAAAAATATTACAATCTGTCTCTAGGACATTTATAATAGAGTTCACAGATCACATTTATACTCTATGTACAATAAATAAAATAAATTATACAGAAAAATAATAAACTTAATTACTTATGAGAAACTACATTAATATTAGAATCCCCTGTAGCTCACTTTATTTTATAATAGAGAAGATCAGAGTTTTATATATTAATTATCAACTGTTGCCTCTTCTTAGTTTATGAAAATAAAATAAAAATAAATTACTAAAAGTTTAGTGGAAAGGATAATGGTTTGGTTAATTCTAATTTATAAGTTTCGGGACAGGAGATACAAGCTAAGTAATATTGACAGAAAAATAACAAGCATTTCCTGCCTTCAACTTAACCTTAATTTCTTCATCTATTTCGTTTTTTCTAGTTGTCGTAGACCCTAGATACCTAAAATTCATGTGTTCAAAATCATTCCCTTCTGTATTTATATCATCAAAATGGTTGCTATTTTTTTCAGCTATTCATATATTTTGTTTTAGCCATATTTATTTAATATTTCTGTCATGCACATCCTAATTAGATCAACTAACTTTTTTAGTGATGATAAATAGCCTTATTTATTTTATAATTTTTCGTCCCATCCGCCTTTTTTCTATTTTTTGTCCTCATATTTTTTGATGTGGTGACGTAAAATGTTCAACTGATCTTTTCAAAATTTCTTTCTTATAATTATTTCAAGTGATATGATACTTTTGGCCAAACGTTGGTTCAATATATATAACGCTATTGTAAAAAATCCTAGAAAACCTATTGTTCAAATTTATATCTCTATTGTTCGTCTAAAACAGGGCTCTTCAAACTTTTTGACCCGTGGACCACATTGACACCTCCACTAAGCCCCGCAGACTGTATTGTGGCCTCCACTAAGTTCTACAGGCTATGGCTTGTTCTAAATCAAAAATCTTATTCTATAAAAACTTAAATTTTTAAATGGACTTTCCAAGATAAATATCTGATACAATAACTGTAGCATCTTCGTATTTAAGTGATTTATTAAATTTCACATTTTTTAAATATTTTTTGTAACTTTACGGTATTACCAAAGAAATGTTTGTGGACTGGATTAGAGGTGCTTGCTTATTTGGGTCCGGCCCATGGGCCATAATTTGGAGACCTCAGGTCTAAAACAGTAACTACTTTGGAAGCAGAATAATACATTTCATTTTCCTGAAAATAATAAAAAAAAATTTAACTGTAATTTTAGATCTTCAGGAACAATTTTTATTTTTAGAATTGTATTTAAATTAATTTGTACAGCTCTTATTTTAACCTTTTTTTTTTTTTTTACAGATGGCAAAGGCTGGTTTTTATGTAACTAAAACAGATCAACAAGCTGTTACATGCTATTTTTGTTTCAAGGAATTAGAAGGATGGGAAAAAAACGATGATCCTTTGTAAGAATAAAATGCTCTTCCGGTGCTCACTTGAAATAGCAACTTTTTTTTCATTTAATTTAGTGTTAATCTTATTTTTGTTTTTACAGCAACGAGCACAAAAAACATGCTCCATATTGTGAATTTGTTAATATGTTTGAGAAAGCACCTGACACTATTACATTCGCTCAACTTTTGAAATTAGAAAGAGCTAGACGAAAAAGAGCTTGGGTTTGTATAGATTTGATCATTTTCTTACTAAAAATTTTAATTTTACATTGTTTTAATAAACTTTTTATTTTATTTTTTCAGGAGCTTCAAATTGACAAAATATATGACAGCACCCAACAAATAATACAGAAATCACTATCAAAAAACACTATCAAAAGACGGTACAAAAAACGAAAGTGAAATAATTTTTATTACTATTGGACAGAATTTCACAGTTCAATTCATTACTTCTGTAGAATAGCATGATCTCATCAAGATTTTTTTGTTATTTAAAAGAGAGAGATTATGAAAAAATTGTATACTTTAAATTTATTACTTTTATGTAGCATAAATGTGTATAGTTTAAGTTTTAAGTAACTAATTATAGAATATTTCATCTTCTTGGAAGTTATGTTACAGATTTTTATAATAAATTAAATATTATGTTATTATTTAGTGGTTTAGTTTTCAAGAACTGAGTAATTGATTTTGTTTCCTCTTAATATATTAAAATTTATCTGTATTATATTTTTATATATATTGAAATGTAGACTGCAAGGTATAAGACAAAAATAATACCAATAAAAATAAGAAACCAACAAGATACTCAATAACTAGCTAGAGGTAGAAGGATGTTTATCTCCAACTAGGACCAAGGAATTTTCAACCTATTTGACTGAATAACTTACCTTGAAAATCTTTATCTAATCATTAATTACAAGGCTATGTGTAGTGATTAATGCATGTCTAGATCAGTGATTCTCATATTTTATTGCCAATAAGACAGAAGTTTTATTATTTTTGCCCTTTGGCTAATCCTTATTTGAAGATCAGATGTCAATTTATATTTTTTTTTTTACTTTTATGGTGAAAAGTGTTTGATTCTCACTTAAAACCAGTTTAAATGAACTAGATAACTTTTTATTAGAATCAGTGATCTTACAATAATTCTTAAAATTGTTAATAAATTGCCATCAATTGATGTTATTTCTTTTTCTTAATCCATTCTTGAAAAAACTATTATTTAAGAACAGCTTTAGGCAATGATACATAAAAAATACATATTATTATATTAATATTCAATTATAAAGTGACTGTACATATTTGGTTTGTAATAAATTGTCACTTTTTTTAACAAATGTTTATCAATACAAAAAAATACAATTTAATTTATATATGTGTTCGAGGGTAGATAAGCCCTTGTTCAGCTATTCATTCAAGTTGTTACAATGTTTCGATCTACTTTGCTCATTTTCAAATCATCTATAAATGATCACAAAACAATGTTAATAATAATGATCATTAATTATCTACTGATTAAATTATTTATCCTTGAATAAACTATGTTAAGTGCCCTTGAAAAAATACTACTGGGAGTAATTAAATATATACAATTTAATGTTTCTATTTGATAGAAAAATTGTTTATGAATGATGTGAGCAGTTTCTTTATTGTTTTTATTTATGCTCTGGGGAGATCAAAATGTCTTTCTAGTATTGCTATTGGGGGGGAGCATCTTTATGATCAACTTCACATGGCTCAGTTAGATCATGAATGCTAGCCACATCAATTATGAAATAAACCTTTTCATTGGATGTTTTATAGCCCGAGGTTAATTGGTTTCAAGCCAATAATAAGTTTGTATACCTTTTTTTTTTTTTTTTGCTGAAGCCAGTTTAAGATTACTGTTATGCCAATAAAGAATTCATTTACGCTATATGTATGTTGTAAGATTCTTAATCTTTATAGAATAATTAAAATAGTTTTGAATCAAACATTTGATAAATGGAAACCTCCTGTCAATGATGTGATCAGAAAAATACTACTTAGTCAATATAATATAATGATCACTTTTTATGTTTTTCTGCAGATTAGTGAAATAAATACTAATTTATTTTCTTAATGATCTTTATTTATGCATTTTTTTATTTTAAGTTATTTAAGATTTTTTTGTTTTTTAATGTTTGTTATATTATGCATACTCCATGCATTTTGAAGATTCAAGATGAAGGAACTGATTCTAATATTTCAAAGTGCTTTTTCCCATCTGTAAATGTAGTTACTCTGATCCTAACTATAAGACTCTTGGTCAATTGAGGTGGATCCAAATTTTCTTTGTGGATTTTTGAAGCTTCTGAAACATAAATGTTATTATAATTCACTATTTTAACGAGAATAAAAATATTTTAGGAAAATGGAATTCTAGTTTAATATGGTTTGTCATTTATAATTTTTAGTATTTATTTTTTAATATGGTCTGAATTAAACTGAAGAAAGAAAACATAACAAAACATTCTAATAATATATTGTCAGTTTCGAGTTCAATAAATTTCTTATTGAAGATTTGTTCTTACCATTTAAAACGTGAAACTGTTTGTAATTAGATAAATTTTGCAATTGTATTGAAGAAATTATTTTTCTTAAATTAATAATTTGAAAGTTAAATTTGGAAAACATTAATTTAGCATTAGTTCTTATATCTGTTTTGTATCATATTTGTAAAATTAAAGATACAGTTTTCTTTGAAAAACAACAAAGCGAAATAGGAGTGGGGTTAAAATTATTCATTTGCATCCTTAGAAAATGGTTGTTCCATGAAGATATGGGTTGTCTTATTGGAAAAGTGTATCTTAAGAATGTATCAACTTAATTATGATACTTAAATTAATGATAATTAATTAATTGAAGGCATTATGCTACAAATTTAATGTTTATAAAAAATAATTGCATTTTAAAGGAATAATCAGGCAAGAATGTTTGGTTATTAATGTTACCAGGTGAAGATAAGTTCATAGCACCTTCAATTACTGTTGCTACCGAATATTGAATTTTATTATTTTTACAGTCAACTAACCAGGAATTGTTTTGTGTTGAGCTGTTACATGATCAGAGGTGGAAGATTTCTTCACCGGAGTTCTGATGGGGGATAATTGAAGTGTTTCTATTTTGTCTTCAACAGATAAAATACACCCATTTTGTTGTTTAACCAACTTGGATATCGGTCTCCCTTCTTCATCACATTGAGGTAAACCATTTTCATCATACAATGGTCGACCATAGGCATCTATTAATGGTTTTCCTTTTTTGTTATATAAAGGGAATCCCAAGGAATCAAAAATTGGTCCTCCATTTAAATCCGTTATTTTCGGTAGGTTCTTGGGATCCTGAGGTACCAAACTTGAAGTACTAAAGCCAATTTTAATTCCTGGTGGTTCATTTAACCCATTGTCTAATCTTATTGCTTCAGCTGTTGCTATTGGTCCTCCTTTTGAATCATAAATAGGTCTACCAAACAAGTCGTACATCGGCCTTCCATATTTATCAAAAAGGGGGCGATTGAATGAATCATATAGTGGTCTCCCAAATAAATCTGTCTCTGCCTTAAAACTAATCACATCATTAGAAAATGAAACACTGTCTAGTTTTAGCTGTGAAATTTTTGCCTTAGATGAATTTAGTGTTCTGATTGTATAAGCATCATCTGATATATAAACATTTGTAGAACTGGGACCATTACTAGTGTCCATGAAGTATGGTTTAATATTTAAAAACACTTTCCTTCCATTTTTATCCAAAACATTTCCTTTGAATCTATCACTAAGTGGATGACCAACAAAATCTAAAATAATTTTCTTTTTTTTCAAATCTAGGTTATTAGTTTTTATTTCGCTTTCTTGTTTTAAATTGGTTTCTGGCAAATAAAGACATATCTCAGTTAATGGCACTGGTTCATTTAATCTGAAAAGCAACTGATTGTAATCTGTTATTTCATTTGGGTATACTTTTTTAAGCATCAAAAGACACTGTCCATTTGAATCATACATAACTTCACCATTTTTGTCTGTTAATGGCCAACCTTTTCTGTTAAATAATTGTGCTGGTTTATTTTCTAACATGCATGTTAATATTATATCCCCTTTTAAAGGTTCCCTTGTGGGATTAAATTTTGGTTCTGTTGCAGAAGTCCCAATAGCATCAAATACAGGTTCATTATTAGAGTCAAAAAGAGGACGCCCCTCTGGGTCACATTTCAATAATTCTTGGAATTTTATATTTCGAAGGGGTTCACCATGTTTATTTGTCACTGGCTGTTTTGTTTTATCAAAGAGTCTAAATGGGACCCCCTTTGGTGAAAGCCAAAAACCATTTTGTTTTGTTATAGGAATGCCATTTTTATCAAAAATAGGATGTTTGTTTAAATCATATAATATTTTTCCTTCGTTGTTTACTTGTATCAAGTTTTTTCCATCTGCATTGGTTAATGACGATCCATCAAAATCTATTAAGCAGTAACCTCTGAAATCAAATAATGGTATGGTTGAGACAATGTTTTTGTTTTTTGAGACTCTTTGAAAAGGTTTAAACTTCTTGCTTGATGAAGGATTTCCATTTAAGTCAAAAACTGCTCTACCAAAACAATCATATGGTTTTCCATTTTTATATTTCACAAGATGTTTCCCACTAGCTGTTTTTAAACTTTTACCTTGACTATCCGTCAATGGGTACTTGTTGCAGTCAAAAAAGACAGGTATTTGTTTTTTCTTTTCATAATTTTTGTGATGTTCATTAGAGGTTTGTATGTGCACTTCATTTAATCCCTGCTTTCCATATTTTTTAATACTGTCTGTATGTTGATTCCATATGGCGTTTCGATTGCTGATAGATGTACCATCAAATGTGTCTTGATTATTTATTTTATATTTAGATTTTGAACTCTTTTCTCCTGATTCATTTGATAAATAACTTTGCTGATTTGTTGATAGCTTAGAGTCGACAAAGGATTGTGATGACTTAGCAGAATCAATTATGTTCTTGCAATATGAATGTTCAGTACTTACTGTTTGATCTTCTGAAATGGTATCTACATTGTTAAAAAAAGAGTTATTTTCTGTATCAGATGCAATCTTCGTTTCATTTTTAGAAACCTTTAGCTTTTCAAACAACTTATTTCCATCTAATGTTTGTTTTATGATCTCTGCTTCATTTTGTATTAGTTTTAATTTTTTTTTACTTCGTTTGTAGTTTGAGCTACAAAATGTCTTATTTTTTAAATCCATTTTTAGGGTTTCTTCTGAAAAAGATGTGCAAGGCAATGACTTTATGCTTGGAACATAAGGCATGTCATAAGCGGGCGTTTTTATCTTAATACTTGTTCCATCTCTTCTGATAGTAGCAACTGTGCATGCATAATTAGCTTCATATATTCGATTTTTAAATTTGTCTTTGATCAATAGTTTTTTCTGTAACATGATAAGAAATATAAATTAAGAAAATTACCTAACTTAACATCACAAGCCATAATTTCTTCAGTATCCTTCATATATTTTTTTATAACCTTAAGTTAATGGTAGGCAATCTAACAGAAAGTAAAAAATTTAGTTTGTACAAAGTTAGAAAAATGTTTGTAACACTTCATTGAAAAACTCGACTACTTTCAATATTATTAAATAACCTACATTTTAAAAAATTTCATTAAAACAAATTATTATTCATATATAATGTAGAAACTTTACCCAAATATTTTTGGATATGAAAATCCAATCAAAATATTTTCAACTTATTGCTTCATAAAACCTTAGTTTTATTTAAACGAATTATGTTTTATAAATTAGCTCTAGGACCTTTTTTGA